CAAAAAAGGCAGAGTCAGCGGACGAGTCGCAGCGCGTGATGTGCGATGTAGGACGTGCAATGGTACATTCTTTCAACTTGACGCGAAATCACTACAGTACGCGCTGCGACTCGTCCGCTGATTCTGCCTTGTTGCCGCGCGACGGGCCTCCTGTCGGATACCCCTGTTCGATGCGATTGACACAATCACAAAAAAGCTTCGAAGCAGTGACAGATGACGTTTTTGTGAAACAATGGGAGCATACGACTGTGGAATGCCTACTACGGTCAGGATAAATATAGGATATTTCGTATCTTACCAAAACTAAGCAAGCGTATGCATACTTCTTTTGAAATCCCGGTACTAGTAGTATTAAATGGTAAGAATAAAGTTATTTAATGAGAGCTTCTACGGCATAGCGAGCTTTCAGCGTGCTCTACTACACAATCTCTCACTTTCCCTAATAACGAATTGTCTAAAGAGTCCAGTGACTTTGAATAAAATTCTTAGATAAAAATTAAAAGCATTTAGTTGTTTGACTCTTGTAGTGTTTCAATGGAATTTCAATGGTAGGACCCATAAAGATTTCTGCAAGGTTCTGCAGCTTCAAATTACTCTTTGAATCAAATCGAGTCAATTTTATTTGGTAAATTTTACCAGTCGCTGATGCAGCAAACGGTTTCCTCGCTCCACTGTCGCCACACCATTTTCACTACATAAAGGGCGAGAGAGGCGTCGCCCTACATCCATTCAAACGGAATACTTACATGTTACTGAATTCATACCGAATTCACTCAATCACATATTGAAGAGCACATTCCATTCTATCGGACAACTTCATTATAGCCTTCTATTAGGTTGTCCCATAATTAGTGAATCACTTTACATTTATTGTTATTAAAAATCCAAGAAAAATGGTGAAGGCGTGAAACATGTTTTGCGAAGTAGCATCCACATTATCCTACCTGAGCAATTACTCAGCCCATTTACATGCTGCCTTCCGTGGCTGATACTTCAATTTTTCTGGAACCTATTTTTGAGCTCCCTTCTTAATCACTTCTGATTAGGATCTTTCAAACGCCCAACAACATAGAGAATCAACCAGCAGATAGGCGAGGGCACGCTCCCTCAATCCACGGTCTGCTTGTAGTTCACTCTATCGAGAGGTTGGCTTTTTAGTTGAAGATGACCCACACTCCAACTACCCCTCAACTGGCAATCTCACTGCTGTACCCAGCGCCACTGAGGGTGGATCTGGACAAACTAGTCGCCATTTGCTAGAGCATGTCCGACTTGTTAAAATGATGGAATGTAGACATCTACGTAGAGTTGTAAAGATTTTAAAATATTTAGTTTGTATCTTGTATGCTCTGAGCCCGAAACAGCTCCACACACGATCTGACATCATCATGTTCCTTCTGATCTCCCTTAGTTCCTTACAGTGATCATCCAGCATATTCACCAGGGTTCTGGACTGGGTGGAGTGTACTAGCAAATCTCCAACAAGCAGTAGCCTAGCATGAACGATTCGGGAGTTCTGACAGCAAAAGCCGAACCTCCTTCGAGTCCGACCCTTCCGAGATATTGGTGGAGCACGAGAGTGACCTTGCGCTGGGAACCGCCGCCCAGTAATACTAGGGTCACTGAAGAAGATCAACATCTACAGCGTAATGGCGACGCGTTCAATTTGAAAGTAAAGCAAGACAAAGTCTGCTTTTTTCCTGAGGTCGTTCGACCCCACCTTGCGGAGAATATTCATAAAAAATTGGAGACTTCCAGGCTAGCACTTCTTTCACCTCCTATGTGTGGCCCTATCCTCGTGTCAACAAAAGACAACTCAGTCTGACCTCTAGCGCTCTTCTCCAGGAAGAAACTTTACGCTAAGTGACATGACCTCAAACTCGACTTCCGATCTTTCTTCGATCAATAGCTCCTGGAATTCTAGAGATAAGACAGCAAAATTTCCTTGTATAGGCAATACATTGTAGATGACAGGATGTATGTTTGGATGAGCAAAGACTCCACATAAAAAAGAAAAAAATTTGAATTCAAAAATACCCAAAGTGATTCACTAATTATGGGACAACCTAATACAACGAGGTATCTAGAAGATTTTTCTACACTTTGGTGGTTGTTTCGAGCGTAAACGAGGGTCCAGTCTGATCGTTTGGGCCATTACGACGTTTATCTACACATGGATTGGAAGGACCTTACGCAGAGCTAGGTTTACCAGAAAGCGTTTCTTCGGTCAAACGGTTGAAAACTAAAGCAAAAACTCCAGGCTGGAGCGGTAGGAGGCTTCTTGAGCTTGACGGGGTGATCACAGATGGCGTCGTATTCTGAGAGCAGCGAGGAAGGGCCTGCTTCCGCATATGAGGAGGCATCTAAGGATTATTCTGCCGTAAACTCCCATCAACAGCGCGGCGCAAGACGAGTACGCGCGCCACGGAAAATTTCTTTTTATGCCCCTCCCCCGCCCCCTCCCCCCCCCCCCCCCCCCCCCTCCTCGCCTTCTATTCCCGGACACTACCTCAAAAAGCCTGTAGTGCATAGTGTCAGGCTTCGCTTACAGTCTATAATAATACAACGTACTTTCTTACTCAGCTCTGCCGAAGAAAACACTCTGCCCATTTAGCTCTTCTTATTCCTTATTTCTGAGTCCTTGATATTGGGTTGGAGCATAATATCGTAGCGCTTGCATTTTTCATTTCTTCACACAAACATTTGAAGCAAAAAATAAAAACATAAAACTAATCAGTGATGTTCACTTCGTCATTATTTACAACTTTGATTGCATTTCGCAGGAGATCACCGGATATAGAATTTCAAAAAAATATTGAGCTCATTTTCGGAGTCCTTATTATTCTCAATTTGTACGAAATGAATATGGTTTTAATTTGAGCGAAATAGGTGGGGTCGGATAGAGCAAGGTTCGATTAGAAGAATGGATTCGAAAGAACTTCCAATTTGGCGTTTTTTTTCTTTTTTTTAAACCGAGAAATAGCAGCTGTCGAAACGCCGATTTTTGCCGTCTGGATTTTCCAACTTCTAAGCTCTATACCTGAGTACAGCTACAATGTTGAAGAAAAGACAACTACGGTTTTGTAGAGCGAGAAGAGTACTTTCAAATAGTATGAGCAGTTTTTCGGATGATACTTGTACTGACTGGATTTCATACGCTTGGAAAAAACGCTACGATATTATGCTCCAACCCAGTAGTTACTGACAGATGGCGTTTCTTCTATGATTCGTTTCAGTAGGCACCACCATGTTGCTTGGGCAGGAAACGTAAGGCCCTACTAGAAAAGGGCAAACAATATGCACATAAACAAGCACAACAAAGTGTTTTATGCACGGTAAGAACTGCGAAAAGGCAGTAAGAAAAACTTGAACGCATTGCTATGGCATGCATGAGTTTAAAGGATGTCCAAATGTAATCCGGCAGGGATTTGTCATCAATTTGTTCTTGCCCTTTCACGGCTCGCTTAGCTTAAAAACATTTTCAAATAAATTTTGTTTCATTTATTCAATCAAAGACATCATTTTTATTTATACAAGACAGCCAAGAGACTGTTATTAAAGCTTGGGCTCTCCGGCAACGACGCCTGATTCAATGCCGCATTCGTCGAGGCCGCGAATGATTCGGAAGAAACCTGAATGAGAGCTGGGTAAAAACTCATCCGTAGAAAATTACTTTGGAAAGTCTCATAGAAGAGAAGAAGCAAACCGTTCTCTCCCCAAGTCGGAATTCCATGAGTTGGAGCAGATCCAGTATGGGGTACCGTTCTCCGTTCCCCAGCCGATCATTTTTACAGCATGTCCTCCACGAAGTGCGCCAGCTGTGTGCTGCAAAGGATTTTTTTGGTTAATGGGGAATCTAGAATATTCCTCCCACAGACCAAGTTTATGAAGGTACTCTGGACAAGAATCACGAAAGGCAGCTTCACAGGCTGTCATGCAAACTGCCTCTGTCCAGCCGAAGGTAGGGGAACAGCGTCTGCGATGGTATGGGCATGTGCTAAGGAGGCCACAGGATCACAGCGAAGTGCAGTGCGAACGAGCGCGAGGAACTCCAAAGAAAAGGTGATAGACGTCACCCCTTCTTAGCCTAGCTGGACCAACTTGTGCAGGGTTGGTTGTGCGACATGCGTGTAGGACAACTGTCAGAGATGTGTCCGTCCCTTTATAATGAGAATGCTGAACCCGTATTTTGAAGATTTTGGTGAATTTTGACATAATGTTAAGAGTTCTCCTCCACTGTAACAGTTCCACCTGATACGGGGAACTTGGCCAGCCGCTGACTTGATGAAAGTTGCCATAACCCTCCTTCAGCACAGTTTAAGTTTTGCAAAGTTTGTAGAGCTTGATCGCCGTCGAGCTATTCAGCAAAGCTTCGTGGGCTGTAGAGAAGAATCCCTTCTTCATTGTACGTCGCAAATCAGTAGAAAGCGAGTCGCTTACATCACATAAAACAAGCTAGAATTTGATGGACGACCTTCAAATTGGTGATTTGTCGCGGCACGCCCCTATCAAATTTTTTGGACTTTCCAGCTACTTCCGTATAGCTTGGCTCCACAAACCATATACGTCCAGGTTGGGCAGAACCTCCTCAATGGTCCTACGCACGAGTGCCTCAATCAGAACTTTTGGCTAATCGGTGGCAACGTCCGATATCCGACCACCACTCTCATCATACCCAAGGCTCTCGCTTTCGTTACAATAACTTTTTGAACTACTGCTCTTCTGAGCACATTTATTGCGAATCTAGGCCAAGTGCATCGTTAATATCTTGAACTGTTCCCGCTACTTTCAGGTCTATTTAAAGCTAGAAAAAGAAAATCATGCCAACTTGCTCATCGAGTATACCATTCAAAGCTCTGGAAAAGTTATAAGAAAATGTTTAGAACAAAGCTGAGCTAAGCATTGGATAGAGCAGAAAAGCTCTTCAAGATGGTATCCATATCGATGGCAGTTTCTCTAGATTTCAAGTAAAATGAAGCATCCAAATGTGGAGTGTCAGAAAACGACAGAACTTTCTGAAACACCTAATAGGTCAAATCTTTCGCTGCAATTGCATGTCAGTCCACACCCTAAGGGAGCCCGCCTGTCCTCCCACAAGGCAGTTTCCCCTTCTTCGACCTTCCTTCTTATTGTGAAATCGTCCTTCAATTTAGGTTCTTCTTGAGTAAGGTAACTTTTGCTGTCACTGAGTTGGGATGAGAGCTACTACACTATGCTTGCAGTCATTTCCGATCAGGCCCTTCCGGAAAGAAGTATTCATGCTTGTTCTTAGACAGCATCAACTTACGAAATCCCATCGAAATTCAGACAAACCACGTAAATTCCTCCGGTGCATGATCCGAAGTCCTCGTAGACATTGTAGGAGACCTCAACCGGACCATTGGTCATGATTTCTTTCTGGATATCTGTCACCTTCTTCGACACAATGTACGCGGTGGCTCCTGAATGCTGATCTCTTATCACTCCTCTAGGACGTGCGCTAAGCAGCACCTGGTTGCGCTCAGCGACCACTGATCGTGAATGACGCACGTGGTTATCAGCATCATCAGGTCCTCTGATCACGCGCTTGCTGCCGTATGTGCGGCAATTCTGTAACACCCACCAAACGTTTGTTGGCGTTGTAGCTTATGGAGTAGCCATCCTGGCCGCTGTGCTCGCTAGCGTTCGTGGGTTCCACGTGAGCTGGACAGGGCTAAACGTTGACTATATGTACTTGCGAATTGTAGAAGAAAAAGGGCACTATTCAACTATTACGACCCCAAAATCTCAAAATTTTATTTTTCGTCGAAACTTCGCCTATAGGGGTAATTCGGTGCCCTGATTACGAAAATGACATTCATTTTTGGCGCTGGCGCCATTTGGCGCGCCAATTTGGCGCCAAGGGTGTTTTCACCAAATTCGCTGTAAACTTGCACATAGGGGTTATTTGGGGTCCTGATCACGAATATAACATTCATTTTTCCTTTAGCGCCTGTGGCGCCTGTTTTCCGCTCGTCTGCGCCCTCTCACTGATCACCTCGCGATCGGGACTAAGCCTTTGAGGAGGAGAGTGCTCCGAAGTGAATAACACTTATCCTGTGATCTTATACGCTTTAACGTTTGCCACATGTTGACTGGTTCACCCACCCCGGAGTCCTCCCTCCTTCTAGGCTCAGTCCTAGGTATTATGTACAAGTGAGAGGACCCAGGAGAATGGAAAATGTGCGTTGAACGGTGGAAATGCTAAAAACGAATGACATATCCGTAATCAGGACCCTAAATAACCCCTATGTGCAAGTTTACAGCGAATTTGGTGAAAACACCCTTGGCGCCAAATTGGCGCCGCGCCAAATGGCGCCAGCGCCAAAAATGAACCTCATTTTCGTGATCAGGGACCCAAATTAACCCCTATAGGCGAAGTTTCGACGAAAAATAAAATTTTGAGTTTTTGGGGTCGTAATAGTTGAATAGTGCCAGAAAAAGGCTTAACTCACGTCGTAGTGGTCAGCTTTGTCACGATGCTAACATGGTGGAAAAGGATAGGGCTTGCAGCCAGCCTGAAAGAGGGTTTCTGATCGAACGTTCGACCTGAACAGCGTTTCATACCTTTGAAGTGTAGTTGCCTCCGGTGACAAAACTGTGCTTCACCCAGAAATTCCCACGCCTGATGCGGAAAACCTCCTCTGCATCTGAAACAGGGTAAATCAGCTATTCTGAGGGTGAAGCACTTATTTCACTTATTGCTCACCCATCACCGCAGATCAATCCACAGCAAGACAGAATGTCGTCTGCGAAATTGGAAACTGTTCCTTTCCATTAGATGCGATGCAAATACGATCTGTCATCGCTTCGGCTGCTCCAAACGCCCAGCATGATTATTAATTACTTTATTACGAGCTGAACGCATGTGCGGTGCAGGATTTAAAACAACACAGCAACAGAAAATAAACGAAGCGACGCCTATTTTTAGGGCGGTAGAGATAATAAAACTGCTTTACAATAAGAGACGCTCAATTATCAGAATTTGCTCATTCTTATCTCCATACACGCACGGACCATGGAGAACCTGCGCCCAAACGTATAACATGGTGATGAAAGGGAACCTCAAATTTCTCCCTACTTGTCATGGATGGCGCTAGCTCATGAAAGGCACTAATGTCGAGAGCATTTAGCCCATGGAGAACTTTATACACCTTGACCATGTCATTGCTTCTCAATCTTAGGTAGGGTGGATTTAAATCGAGTTATTTATTACAGGGCGGAAGTGGTGTAGTGGACAAGTGGCGCGCTTACCACGCGAGCGGTCCGGGATCAAATCCTGGGTCGTGAGTCGCCCGGGCCAACCAAGCCTTCCATCCCTCCGGGGTCGGTTAATTGGTACCAGACTTGTCTGGGAGGATAAAAACACTGACTTGTACATCGGCTGGCCCCCGCAAGTCATTGTATAGGCCACATCGCATTCAAACGCCACTACGAATGTACAAATGGAATGCCGCATCCCAAAAGGGATTGATCAACGGCAAATGCTTTATCCTTTATCTTTTATCCTTTAATTTATTACTGATTCAAGGCAAGATTCGGGACAAAATAGTAAGAGTGGAAACGCCTTCAGATCAACCCTTGTCCACCTGTCTACTACCTCGGGATGGAATGGGCAAACGCGCCAAATCCCAGGAGCGTGCCCTAGTTCACGATTACATTTGTCAACTCAAAGCCAGGTTTTCTAATGAACAGCTTTTTGGAATTTTATACATCTCAGATTGAGCAACGCACTCCAAATCCTTTCAGAGGGGCCGGAGCATCTCAATGCATGTTAAACCTGTGCAACGACTTTTTTGCTTTAACACATTTTTTTATTAAGAATTGTTAGCTTCACATACAAGATCGATGGATTGTGTTCAACTACGAAGCAGTGGAGGCCTCGAGTCCAGCAGTTGTATAGGAACCGAGGACCTTTTTTTTATAGTGGCGCGCTAAAACCCCCAACAAGTTGTTTCTAAGACGCAACAACGTTAATTTTTCAGGAATTGGGTGACGTCGCTCAGAAGAGACGGGAAATTACGAAGCGGCCAACGTCAAAACATAAAGTCCATAAAGTCCGCAGTATCAGTGGAATATTTCACCTGCAAGGAAAAAAGGCTGAAGGCGGCGTGGACAAAAAATGAACATTCAAAGAAAAAACGAAAACGTTTGCAAGAACAGTGGTGTATTCTGGTTACTATTGCAACTAGGAACTTCAATGAGGGCTCCGAACGGTAAAGACAAGCTAGGGTTTCTTAACTTCCAATGCTTGGCATAAAGAAATAAGGCAAATTGTCACTCACAACATGACGATTGGTCGCGAATCGTGAGGATGGACGGGAACTGGGGCCAGTGTGTCCAGGCATCGAACGAAGCAGGGATAGAGGGGGATCTCGTCATGAGTCTTTTCGTTTTCCTGCAACAAAACCACGATTCCACTGCAGTTCATTGGTGTCAGTCGCTCACACTGAATTCAGCTGGTACAGTGACGTACTTCGACTCCATAAGACGCCTTCCAAAGTCATCTGGATGTTGTGCGAAACGGGCCGACAAACTGGCCTGGAGACGAAGTGATTTTCACTTCACCTCGAAGTGTTTTGTTTACAGTGGCAACCTATGAGATATGATGAAATCTGCAGTAAAAGTACCGTGAACAAATTCTGAGCATTGTTAACGTATTCGACCAGTTCGAGACCAGTGAGCCACTCAGCTTGATGAGCAGCTTTTTCTAGAAACGGAAAATAACAATCTAAAAAAATTGAAGGTACAACCCAGGATAGTCCAGTAAATTGATGCCCTAGCATGAGTGGTGAAGAACGTCTCGTACCAACCAAACGGCACGAAGGCACGGACATTCGCCCATGAATTGCTGCCAAATTCGCTCTCTTTATATCCATGCTCTCTCGTCACCGATTCCTTCCTCTCTCCTATCTCTTACCTCGCTGCCTGTTTCTTAGAACCCTGCACAGTACAGAAGTCCTAGACATTGTGTGCTTCCATCGCCCCACGATCGACCTCACAAGGAAGGAGGTCATCTTTTTCATTTCTATGTCCTTCTGCCCTGTTTTCCTTCAACTACGGTCCTCTTTGCCTTTCCTGTTTCTTTTTTCAAGTTGAATAAGACGAAGATTCGATCGTAACCTGTACTTTAAACAAACTCGCTCGACGGCGGAAGAGGCGCAGCAGAAACAGTCGCGAAGGCCAACGCAAACGTAACAATAGCCAATTTCTGAAAAGCCAGAATTTACCCAATTCTAGAGGTAAGAGAGCCAAAAATCATGGACACACATGGACCGAAGGCGAAGGTAAAACTTTGTCCTCAGCGACGAATGGGATTTCTCTTCTTCCTAAAAATGATGTTGTGGACCCTGTGAAGTGTTTGTCAAATGGAAACCTCATTTTGAGTAAGATTCCAACAGTCAGAAATAGTGGAAGTATTGTCATGGATGAAGATGTGTCCGACCATTCGGCGATTCCCAGTTCTAGGTATCCAGCGAAATGTGGGTTGGGCTAAGTACAAGTATAGTCTGTAGAATACAATGCTTCCCTTCGATAGTCAGAAGAACTAGAAAAGATGGGTTTTCTATCGTGGAAATGACCCAATGCAGGCCTACCTCCTCACTGCCGCCTTCCTAAACCCAGAAAAAGAAGCTGTTATGAAGCGACCAAGTCAAGATCTAAAGTCTAATTGAGTTCTACATCCCACGGAAGAACTGGCATGTCGCTCAACCCACATTCCAGTTAAGAATCCCACCAAACAATGTGATTTAGTTCACAGTGTGTAGGGTTCGACTTTAAAAGTCCTAAAATTATTTTATAATCAACTCCATGTCAATAAAAACGACGCTGACATAGAAATTCACAGCTACTCATCGAATAGTTAATTTATCATGTAGATTCGAGAGCTATTTTGCCGAATTCGCTGTGGAATTGAGAAGTTTCCAAACTTTTGACGCGCCATTTCTTATAAAAATTCGTATTTTTCAAAAGGGAATCTCGTTTCAAAAAATTATGTTGCTTATCGTAATCTACACTTGATTCTGTATATAATATGTGAATTTGGGCAATTTCATTGTCTATTGGCTACACTAGATCAAAAAATAAAAAAGTTTCCAAACTTTTGACGCTACAGGGGGGGCCAAAAAAAAAGACATTTTGCCTATGTCGGACTTCGGCTCTTTTTTCTTCGCAGAGATTGCTGTCGTTGACGGGAGTTCCTCAGCAGAGTATTCCCTAAGTGTCCCTCTATAAGTGAACGCAGGCCCTCCTTCACTGCCCTCACCGTCTTCAGAATATGACGTCATCTGTCACCGTCGTCAGGCTCAAGGAGGTCTACCGTAAGAGCTTCAGCCTGAAGCTCTTACGCAATTTCGTGAATCGATTTAATGTTGGATAGTTTTCTAGAGGCATTAGCTACCACTGTGCAAATCCCCTCGGAACTAGCTTTCCAGTAAGGGTCGTTATGGTACACGATCCTTCGAAGACCCCATTGAGATCGACCAGTGCACCATGTTTCCAGGGCTAATTCTTCTGATGCCGTCCACGTACGTGGCCACTATGAAGATTTTCTTATAGAATGGAATGCACTCTTTAATAATAAGTTGGAACCGTTCGGTCTGAGTTGAGTAAAATGTGCTTAAATCCATCTGGAAGTGGAGGCAAAATGTCTTTTTTTTTTGGCCCCCCCCCCTGTATGCAGTAGTGGACCTCGACCAAGTTGCCTGAGCAATAGGCCTGTGAAATGTGTTGTCAGAGTTGAAATCAATTTTGTGTGTTCTACAATAACAATACTGGCATTGTTATGGACTGCTCTGAAAAGTCTCTTCAGTGGTTTCATAATTTGCAAGTCATAGGTGAAGAAGAGTTGGCATCGCTAAGCAATAAAGGGATTTTAGTATACTGTATATAATCAGGAAAGAATATGTGGTAATGATACACACAAGCGATCCTATGGGAAAGTCTCGTTTGAATGGCGCAGCGCTCCTAAGTAGGAGTGTATTGTGAGACGTGTCTAAATTGTGAAAATTGTGCCTTGCATTGTGCAGAGATATATGCATGTAGCATAGAGCTTTTCCTGAGCGGCCCTCTCAACGGCAAAAAACGACGAAAGATCCGCTTAAGCTTCCTTCCTTCCATCTTCTGGCATTCAGAAGGCCGCTTCAGGAAAAATAAGATATAGTTCTCTTTTTCATACATGTGCCTCATAGCATGCAAAACGCCGTTTTTTTTTCAAAAGAGGGGCACGATCTGATGACTTACTCGTTGTGAGAGAGGCCAAGGGTGACTGCATATTTCTGGGAATTAGTCAGAGACCGTTCTCATGCAGAATAATAGATCATTAGTTATTTCATGGCGATGATCTATCCCACTATAAACACTGTTGGAGTAAGCGAGTAAAGAAAAGATGAGGAAGGTGGAGCTCTGGGCATGAACATTCTTTCGAAAACCGACAGCACATCTAACAGGGAAGAAGACAAAATCTCGAATGCTGTTATACTCCAGATTGTTGCGGCTGCGTGGAGCGATCCCACGAGACAGATAGTGGGGTAAATCCACTAACTCCTGCGACCCAGATAAGGCAACGTTTACAGTTCGCGATCGCCTATGGAATCAGGCTATTAGGCGACCAGCAAAGTAGGCGATTAAGACTGCTCACGCGTTCCAGCTCGGATTGCTCTGGCCATCGGAGCATCGCCTTCTCATCTAAAAGCCTATTCATCTCATCGATGCATATGCTTAGCTCATTGAATACCTGCCAGGTCGCCTAACAACATAGTTGCATCCGAAGGAAGAGCTATCTGGATTCACATTAGTTGTCTCACAGGCTATTCCCCCAAGCACGGGTAAGGCTTCAACAGTGGCTTTGATGCACTGCATTTCGGCCAGGCCAAGAGCTTACATTTATACAAAGGACACCAAGTATGGGTCTTAGATAATCCCAACTCTCCTCTTGGGAAAGATTGGCTGAACACTTTGAGATGACCCGAGATGAGAATGTGAAAGCCTCGTATTGGAATTACGCCACAGAACAGCCTATATATTATTGACCTGAATACTACCAAGCCACCCAAGTGAGAAAACCCTCCATGTGACAGTATACGAGGACCACTCAACTCTGTGGTTCTTCCTGAACTACAGTCAGCTATAATCATTATTCCGCACTACAATCTCGGATTAGGACCGCGACGACGAACGAATCCCTGCTTTAAGATCCTAGCCATCAAGAGCAAAACCTGAGCGCTTTATCCATCAAGTCAGTAATAGCTGTTGAGCGGCAACAAGTCAAGTTTTCAGAAGGAAATGCCAACTTCATCAAAACTAAGGAGTCAGCTTATGCGTCACAGGTTGCACAACGTGTATAGTTCTAATTTGGTCCATAGTGGGCGAGCAACGTTTCGGCCATAACATTACACATTCGGCGACAAGCGACAATGCCTATACACAATACCCAGCCAGACACGATACTCTCGTTTGAGACACGCCAAATGACGTCTCGTCTGTACCGCTCCCATCCGTCATCTACGTTACCCGGAGCTCTGATTCGTTGAAATTGGGCTTATTTTCAATTTTCTTTCGCCACTTTCTCCTCTCAGGCTAAACTTTTACTTGTTCCTATGAAAACAATTTTGGTGCTGACTGGAGTAGTTCAGTCCCCCTTCTTAAACTTGCAGAAACTCCCATCCTGAGCGTCTCTAATCTGCCCGAATATGCAGTGGTTTTCTCTTCGTCTTTACTGTAAGATGTTTTACCACTAAGAATTTTTTTTCCAATGTAATGTAGCGGTCTATCACCTCACCAGATTAACAAATAAATGGCGAACTCCAGTTCGGGGGGGGGGGGGGGGGCACTCCATTTTTCTTCAATACTCAAGATAAAGGATGATTACGCTCATGACACGTAATCGACTCATTTAAAGTATACTTCTGATAAGTATCGGTGTAATGTGGAAGAACCCTGAGATGCTTTCATATTTCCGCCTGCCATGGTCCAAGGAAACGGTCCTGGACCAGGAGAAATGGACACCTCCTGCAAAGGGCTAAGGGTGCAGGAGCTCCAGGGTGGATCACCTGTGCAGAAAAGTGGATGGGATGTGGGCAGGTAGTGTGGAATGTAGGACATCCACCGGTCCTTATCAAAAGTACGCTCGAAATGAGTCGTTCACTTATTATCTTATCCGTAGTGTTCGATAGCCCAAAGAACTGCTCTCTAGTACTACGGATAAGATAGCAATGGAGTGCCCCCCCGAACTGGAGTTCCACGTAAATAAACAAATAAACAAATACATCAATTCACCCACTTGGCTATTTTGTCTTGTCGCACTTTTCTGTTACGCTTTTCAATGCGAAATATCCTCTCAACACGTATGGTATGGTCACATGTTGTGTTCAAATGATAGTTTACACAAAGGTCGAGGAAATGAAAACCAAACATCACTAGTGATTTCCAGCGCAAACTTTCACTGATCGAAGGCCTTTGGAGATCTTGGCTATCACAACTATGCTATACCAAGTTTTTACCCGTTGAAGTTGAGAGTTGAAAATTGAGTTGGACTCAAATGGTTGTATTTGAGCCGAGATCAGAGCGGCTTCATTCATTTGAAATAACACTGAATAAATATGTGGTTGAAACTGCTCATATGACTCCCAAAGAATTAGCCCTGACGTTTTGTCTCGCCGACAGTTTGATGACCATCGTTAGGCCTGGAAATTCATGATAAAGGATTTCTCCTAAATACTCATTCCAAAAATGAATACGTAGTCCAGATGTGCCGTTCAACAGCAAGTGAACTCCTGCGGTTATTTCGCATTGCGAACTTCAGAAGAGCGAAGGGCGACGTGCATCCTTCGCCTATTTTGTAATGAGGAGACGTTGTGTGGTTTTTGATTACGAGAGGAATGCTTTGTGTAGCAGCGGTCCCTCTCTGTTCAGGCGGTGGAACCGTCACCGAATTTATCGCAACTTTCTGATCTTCTCGAGGGGTTTCTGACACGATGTCGAAACCGCTAGAGTTGATGAGGCGCTTGGTGGTGTAGAGCGTAAGTCTAACGCTTGAAACACGTTCAGGCCTCTGAAGACGACGATTCAGTCGAAACGTTGGGCATGAATAAATGTTCCTCTTAAAATCCTCATAAGGGGCAAGATAATTAGGGGACTGTCTTGTACATTGTTACAAATTGCATCAGTTTGAACCCCCGGCACTATTGCATTATTACAACCCCAGTGGGGGCCGAGATGGGTCAAAAAATAATTTTCGCTGAAACTTTTGCTATGGGGGTTATCGAGGGTCCTGATCACGAATATGACATCCATTTTTGGCGCTGGCGCCAAATTGGCGCCACTACTGATTATCACCAAATTCGCTGTAAACTTCTGAATAGGGGTTATTTGGGGCCCTGATCACGAATATGACACTGGTTTTTAACATTCGTGTTGTTTAACGCATATTTTCTAGGCTTTCTCACCTATGGCGCCTAGGACTAAGCTTAGGGGAGGGGAGTGAAACTCCGGAGTGGGTAAACCACGCACCGTGTGGCAAAAGTTGGAGTGTGTTAGACCACAGGGGAGTGGCCTACTCACTTTGGAGCCCTCCACTATTCAAAGGCTTAGTCCTGATTGCGATCTAATTAGTGCGAGGGCGCAGACGAGCAGGAAATAGGCGCCGAATAGCGCTAACAACAAAAACGAATGTCATATTCGTAATCAGGACCCCAAATAACCCCTATACAGAAGTTTACAGCGAATTTAGTGGGAATCAGTCGTGGCGCCAAATTGGCGCCAGCGCCAAAAATGAATATCATATTCGTGATCAGGACCCTCGATAACCCCCATAGCCGAAGTTTCAGCGAAAATTATTTTTTGACCCATCTCACACCCTACTGGGGTTGTAATAGTGCAATAGTGCCGAACCTCCATGACGAGCTTTTTTGTACTTTTTTGTTCTCTTTCGCTGATTGTTCTTCTGTTTAGCGATAATCATATCTTCTATTGCCTCCATGCCAAATTTCGCTGCTGTTAAATTCATGTCAGTTCAATCAGTCTTTCAGCAGAACTGTTGCAATCAAAAGGTAAAGCGGAGAATGGCTTTGATCACTTTGGCCATCGCCTCCATTGCAATCTCTCACCTACTGATGTGGATTCCGTCTCTGATCCGATGGCTCAGACATAGAATGCGGGTGATCCATGCGGTCGACAGCTTACCTGGTCCTCCCGCTCTGCCACTGATCGGATGCGCTCACAACTTCAGCTTTGATAGTTACAGTACGTTTCCTTGAACGTTTGAGTTATCCCTCCTATAATTCCTCATTTTGACACCTAAAAAGTAATGTCTAGGTTTTGAATAATATCGTATTATATTATTACTTGTATTACTAGTGTACTTTGATTTTATTATAGCAGATAATACCACTGTGTTATATTCTATCAAGAATTAAATGTTACTTAGCCACAAAAATACTTTGGGCGAATCAATCGATTATCGATTTCCAGAATTCACGTACTTTATGAGGAAGACATATTTGAACGATACTCTGATGGTTTGAATGGAAACGGAATGTTTCGATTATATAGGTCCGGTTCCAGTCGTTTGCATTTGCAGAGCCGATGCAGCTAAGGTTCGTAGAAAATTTTTTTGATGAGATGATAAAAATTTCACCACGCAAGCAGAGCGAGAAAATTCACTCGAAAAATGTTGAAAAGTATGATAGCATCAGAGTTTCGTGAATTTTAGTTTCAGTCTAAGCACCTTCTCCAATCCCTGGTGAAAGTCTGATTGATACGGTCCAGTTCTGTGTATAAGTGGTACAGCAGTTACTGAGCTCCTTCAATAGACCACTTCTTACTCTCTTGCCTACACATATGTAACTGCGGGCGTGTGTGGAGTGGCAAGAGGTGGAGCTTCAGCACACTCATGGTCCGGTCTTACCAAATTCGCCTAGGTTATCCAAGCCTTCCAGACATCGTTCAGCAAGGATTCTTGCTAGAATACTCGCAACGGGATAAAAGCGCTACCTTGAAAGGTCCCGCAATTTATCTGTAGAGGCCATATTCCATTACGGCTCCTGTTGGGAGTGAAGAGCCCACTAAGAACCGATTGAGCTACTCTAAGAGCTGACCGACCTACAACAATTTAGCTTTCGTGCCCCATTCCAGTACACCTATTGAAGGAAGATTTCGTGATAAGAATGAACTTGAAGAAGGGAAAATTGCTTAGTTGGGGAGACAGGCGGACCTCCTGAGGGTGCGACCGACGCGCAATTGGCAGCGAAAGATTTGACCTCGGCGATCTAGCATGGCTCACTCTTGGCGCAGTTGGCGCGGTACGCCCACCGACATAGCAGAGAGAGCGTTAGCGTTGAAGAGGGCACGATGAGAGTCGCATCAATGCGGAAATCAACGGGCAAGGAAGGGGTCCCATTTCTCGGGTTCTGGGCCGTTTCTCATGGTTTTTCCTTCTTTTTGTACCACTCACCATCCTTAATTAATTTGAAATGGGTTGCCTTCTCAGCGTAAATTCCGCCTTTGAGTGCAAATTACAGCCTTGTGCAAGTGCTTTTCAGGTAATACTCGAAAGTAATAAAGAAATCTCGAAACCGCAAGAAGGTTATACAAGACTGCAGGAGTGGCTTGGCAAGGGACTTCTCACGAGGTGATTTTGAGAACTTCCGTGAAAAACATGTCTCAATTTTACATCACCTTATATCACTCATCATCCGAAGTATTGCAGCAATGGTGAACGCTGGCGAGCGAAAAGGAAGATGTTAACGCCCGCCTTCCATTTTTCAATACTCAAGGATTTCGTGCCCATTTTCAACAAGGTATGTGACTATCTCCTCGAGCAATCTGTGAAAATCGTAAGGTTTCGACAGATGGCCCATCCAGTATTCTCATTGGTAGTGATTCTACTCATAAGCTTTTACAGTGATCACTCATCTGTGAACTTTATATTGTTTTAATGAATTACGCTATCAATCAGAAAAATGAAAGGGCAATAAGTGGAGCACTGTCAGCGCCGCTTTGAAGAAGTACTCATTGTCGAAAGTTGAAAAGGGAGGAACATACGTGGCCGATAGTCAAGCGGGGCCTCCTAAAGATCAACTACACGCGTTTTGCATCGAAGAGCGTGTCGCCAATGGTCTAGTAGGGCCATGCCCCGCATGGCTCGCACCACTCCCTCACCGTCTGGCTGTAGCCGTAGAGGAAGCGTTAGCGTTGAAGAGAGCAGCACCCATGAGAGTCGCATCAATGCTGACATCAACGCGCTAAAGAGGGTTTCATTTCTCGGGTTCTGAGCCGATTCTTACGGGTTTCTTTCATCGGTGCACCACTGGCAATCTCTACCTTAATTTCTATTCGGCTGCATCTTGCTCACAGCTTCGCCTTCATGACACGACTGTTTCCATCAATGGGCCAAATAGGCCCTACAGTCCTGTGCGCCGTCTGGCTCTGACTCAACTGCATGGCACAAGATGGCGATAGGAGCTCCTAATTCTCAATGATTTTCATACGATGATGCCGTTTGACCAAAACCGAAATTTTTTCTTCTGTATGACTAGCACGTGTAACCGTAATTTTTTCGATGTTTGATAGAAAAAAGGTACGAGACACATTGGCGAATCAAAGCGCCCCTCGTTCCAAGCGAAATCTGCACATTTATATCATTTCTTTTCCAACTTTCGCTGCCCCCCTCGAAACGTTGTTGCTCAGTATCGGCGTCACCAGGGCGCCTCGCTTGTGCCATCTACTTACACTCGAAAGAGATCCATATTAGGAGCTCTGTGTCGATATAGTAGCATGAAAAAAATTGCTGAGCGCCGCCTCGGCCCTTGCATCCCTTATTCATGCATGACCTTTCTGACTTGTTTCGCTTACATTGGAGATGATGATTTTTCACAGGATTTTTCCGTAATTTGCACTCATTTTATTTTTCACTTTATTTGTCTTTTTTATTTCATTTATTATCTTATGAGTTGCACTTGTTTTAATTAGAAGTGGTTTGAATTTGGTTTATTTGTTCAGGAGGCGACGATTCTTCTAGAGCAATTCCGTCATTTGTCGGACACGGGCAGCACGGCAGATGTGTTCCCTCTTATAAAACTGTGCACTTTGGATGTGATCTGTGGTAAGTTTTACAAATTATTAGGTCAATTTTATCAACTACTATCTTAAAACACAGTTCGCCATGGAAGTTGTAGCCCAGAGACGCTGAGCAATGGTGAAACCATTCGTCCTTCACAGACGTTGGCACCATGGAAAAGCTCACCGGCGGCGCGGACACGCTCGCGTGTAGGTGATGTCACAACGGCGGCGAGGAGCGAGCAAGGGCCAGCTTTGTGGATTTCTTCTCTGAGATCTCACCATTTCACTGGAGTCTATGGTATTTACCATCCGAAACAGACTATAGAATACATTGCACCCCTTATTTATTCGATATGAGCTTACTTAAAGGCAAACTCCGGATTAAACTGGTGCTAAGAGCGCTTCGTAGTGATAGCTTAGCTGCGGAACGACCTGAAAGTGGAGAGGAAAGCAAGAGAATCTTTGGGAACGCTGAAATTAAGGCCTTAACCTTCAAAAAGGTCGGATGTGGTACGATGGCGAGACAGGGCGATCAAAGAGGTCAAAACACGCGAGAGAGAACGTCGTTTGAGAGAGCACGCTGATCTCTACATCAATGCACGCTGATCTCACCACATCTCGCGGTGGGTGGGAAGCGTTCGATGGTTGGAGGCCCGTAAGGATTAGCGCCCTAACCGCGCGATTTTCGCGACCAAGTTGAAGTGATCTAGGTAGGTACGGGTCTTACAATTTCCCTCGCGGTATCCTTCCTACTAGTCGGGCTAATCCCGGGGTTTGCCTTTAACTGTAGCTTGTATAGGGAGGGAGCCGGCAGACGAAAACGAGCCAAGCCGTCATTTTTAACGAACTCTATGTTCCTTCTGAAGAAATCGGTTACTAATGTTTCCCATACTTGTTAACAATCTGTTTTCAACATTTCATTATTGGACCGCCAACAAATCGTACCGTTCCTTTCAAATTGTTGGTTATCTAGCCAGATTTAAATGGTTCCACAATTTCATCAAAGGTATGGGGAGGGTGTGGGAGGACACTCGTATCTTATCAAAGTGGACATGCGAAAGGCACTCATGTTTATCAAACATGATCATTATGTCTTTCACTAAGTGGCTGGCTCTGGCTTACGATCCTACATCACACTTCTTATTTATCGTACTATTCCATAGCAAAAATGGCTGCTACCGCTGACTCTTCATTTCCACCAAATCTTCTTGTGATCGCCATGCAAGCCTTCGAAGAAAGTCTTTCAAGTGTTCGATTTTGTACGCAATCTCGGAACTGATATACAGTCCAAATTTCACCGTCTGATTAAGCGGTGCTATGGATTTGACGTGGCAGCCGCCGCACTTGATAGAAGGCGTGTGGATAAGCTGTTTCCAACATACTTCGCTGGATATCAGCAAAGCATGCTGGAAACAGCTTATTCACACGACTTCTATCAAGTGCGGCCACTTCCACATCTAGACCCGACGTCAGATCCGTAGACCCGCGTAAACAGACGGCAGATATGAACTGTCCCTATCTGATCGTGTACGCAGAGCCTGTGCTCTGAATGTTGAAAGGTATGAGCGTCCTTTCGCTACTCTACTTTGAAGAGATATTGTCACTTTGATAGGACATTATGAGTGCC